CCCTTCAAATGTGCAGAGGACTCCCCAAGTGCTGTGTTTAATTTATTTTAAAGTAGGCCTGTGTATTATTTTTAATTCTCCTTATCAGAATCAGAATCCCTTTATTAGTCCCACAGAGGGGAAATTTGCAGCGTTACAGCAGGAAAGAGCCACAGACAGCTTAGTGTTGCATATCTGAAATGCGTTAAAAAAGTACTAAGTTATAATATAATAAACAATATGCTGAAAAAGTACTAAGTTATAATATAATAAACAATATGCTAAAATTAAAATAAAAAAGTTACATAATTTTCAAAAATACAGATCAAAAACAAATCAAATCTACAAATCAAATCCTGTAGCAGTCCTTATAGGAGTTCTTTGTTTCTTATTAGAGGTTAACAGTTTTATATAATGTAATAAATAGCCTAATAAATGCAAAAAAACCTGTAGTTTTTGTCTGATATAACAATAAATGCAACTTTATTAGCTATCAAGCTATGAAATATATTTTGCGGCTCCAGACAAAAAAATGTTTTGGAAAAAGGAGCAAAATGGCTCTTTTGGTCAAAAAGGTTGCAGACCCCTGGCCTAGGGCCAGCTGCTGCGAAGGCTCGGTGCCCCCGGGTTTTGAGCCTGGTCTTGGGCACTATCAGCAGCAGCTGGTCAGCAGACCTTAAAGCTCTCTATTTCATCACCGTTTCTACACTGTAGCTTGTGTGCATATCATATGACACTTAAACCTTTGAATATAATTTAATTTGTTTTGATGCAGAATCTAAAATGAAGCATCCTGTGAGTAACTCATCCTCTCGTGAATAGAAGATCTCGTCGGAGTTCTCGCTCCGGTGCGGCAGGTGGCGGCAGAGCGACGCGGCGCTTCCTGTGCAGCCCTACATTCACAACAAGAGGAGGAAGAGGAAAAACGACAGCTTTGGATCGTCGTCGACTGCCTTGCGTGACAACACAGGGATCGCGTTCAGAGCTTTCGGGTATTAACATTTCCTATTTTCTTCTTTGTGGCTTTGGACGGCTCAGGAAAACCACACGGCGCGTTTTCGTTACGCCGTTTTGTTCGCCTGTGTTCGCCGCCGCCCGTGTTTTCCGCTTGTTTGCGAACTGCTTTTAAAGAAACATGCCAATGGAGGCTTGCTGCTGACCAAAATGGCTGGGCGCAGTGAAATGTGAAATATTCCTGCTAAGGTTATCCATTCTGCACGCGACGCGTCTGTCACGCGATCCGAGCGGCTAAAACGCGTTACTGAAGTTAAGCAAAGTGCGTCTGTTTGTTTCTGTTGCCGTGTATATGTTTTATTAGCGTAACTGCGGTTTTTACTGCTGTCGGGCCTCTCGTGTTTTTTTCCAGATATTTTCTGCATGATTGATTTATCTACTTTTGTTTACGCTCTGCCTTTTTTTTTTACGATTTGCAAAAAGAAAAATGCATTATTGTTTGCAAGTAACTATTATAATTGTGTGTAAATCTTTGCTTATCTAGCCAACCTTAATGTATTATCATAAAAAGCATGCAAACAGAGCTCCACCCCTCAGCTGTGCGCGTTGTATGCATGCCGCTTCATTGTGCAAGGCAAACATATTTGACTTTATTCTGTTTTTCTTCCACAGGTTGCTCCAGTTCGAAGTGCAACATGTCTGATTTAATGAGATATATCGACTATGACCACAAAGCCACCTTCCTGAAGATGCTCAACCAGCAGAGGATGGAAGGTGAGCACTGTGATGTGGTGGTGGTGGTGGAAAACATAGAGTTCAGGGCTCACCGCTGTGTCTTGGCAGCCTGCAGCAACTACTTCAAAAAGCTCTTCAAGAAGCAGACCGAAGAGGACAACTCCATCGTGGAGTTAGACTTCATCCGCTCTGACATATTTGAAGAGGTGCTCAATTACATGTACACAGCCAGGCTGGCAGTGAGGAAGAAGGACATCAACATGATGATGTCATCCGGACAGATCCTGGGCATCAACTTCCTGGATAACCTGTGCACCCAGAAGCGTGAGCTGACCAACATGAAGACCCGGGAGAACCAGGCTCCTGGGGACCACGGGCTGCGAGCCCAGGACGCCATCCTGAAGGAGCTGGCCATGGAGGAGGTGAGGAAGAACAGCTTCTACGACCAGGGGATGGATGGGATGAGCGCCGGGGGCTCGCACGTGTCTCAGCCGCACAACTACAACGCCAACCTGAGCAAAGACCCTCACAGCCACGGCTGGGGCTCCACTTCCTCCAGCGACATGAAGCTGGAGTACCTGCTGTACGGGCACCGCGACCACGGCACCTGCCAGACCACGGGGGCCAAGCCCATCGACCACAACGCCAAAAAGGAGAGGCTTCTCACGGCCAACCGGCCCTACGCCTGCGAGCACTGCCCCAAAGCCTTCACTACCGCCGCCCACCTCAAGGAGCACCTGAAGATCCACTCCGGCTTCAAGCCTCACCGCTGCGTTGTGTGCGGCAAGGCCTTCATCAGGGGCCCCGACCTCAAGAGGCACGAGAGGGTCCACAGCAACGAGAGGCCCTTTGCGTGCCAAATGTGCGAAAAGGCCTTCAAGCACAAATCTCACCTGAAAGACCACGAAAGGCAGCATCGGGGCGAGCGGCCGTTCAACTGCGGCTCGTGTGAAAAGGCCTTCATCAAAGCGTCTGACTTGAAGCGCCACTGGAACACGATGCACAGCGGAAACCCCCGCAGACAGATGTCCCAGTCCCCCGCCACATCAGGCCAGCCAGAGGCCACCGACCAGAGAGACTGGAAATTGGAGACCGGGCCAAACTCGCACAACTCAGGGGACTGTTGAGTCTGAAAACACACTCATACTGACATACAGATGCACACACACCCTTAGAAACATGTACACACACTGACAAAACCACAACCCTGTGACAGGCTGAGTGCCTGGCGTCACATGGACAGTGATCGGAGTGAGTAACATGAGATCATAGCATGTTCATAAGACTGTGGGGCTGTATTATTATTATTATTCAAAAGAGTTATGTCTATAACCATGTTTTCTTTCCACCTGTAAAAACATGTAAATGTTTAGTTCACTCTACTATACATATATTTTTCACAAAGCATTGTTGCTATCTAGACTTTGGGGGGGGTCGTCTCATAACATAACATTATTCTCTTTTACTTTTAATGGGATATGTAACATTTAACGGTTTGTTTAACCGTTACTGGATTTTATGGAGAGAAAAGGATTGTGGGAGGGGGGGGGTTTGTTCTGGATAACATTTGTTGCATTGAGTATATTCATGTGGATGTTTTTAAATGGATGTGTTTAGTTGTATTGATTGATATTACACTGTAAGAGTAAGAGTCACCATTTTGCATTTGATGCAGATGATACCAAAGTCTTGGGCACTCTGAGGGTGGTCTCTAACGGCTGTCCTGCCCAAGCTGCCGGCCAACTAGATTTACTGTTATACAGTATAACTGTCATGCAGCTATCAGCAGTTAATGATAGATGTCTGTATATACTGTAGCTTAGTTTGTTGCACAATTAGAGTACACAATATTGAATATGCACAGATAACATTGTCCTACTCCTACAATTTGACAATAAACACCATTTGCTGTGTTTTATTGTTCTTGCAAAGTTTGGTTTTTGTCGAAGAGAGCTCATTGAGCAGGATGTGTTCCCTGCAGACTCACCTTTTATCAACCATAGTATCTCTGCCACACCCTAACCAACCTGTTAACACGGGAGAACTTCTCCTTTCTTAACCTCTTCCATTATGACTCAAATGAAGACATATACAAGAGGAGCAAAAGTTGCCTCCATTAAAGGTTTGGTCTATAAAGGATTGTGTTTTGTGCAGGAAACATGTGTTCAAAGATATCAATCCTGCAGCTGCCACTTTTGGTTAGATAGGTCAAATGTTATTTGGTTTGTTGTGGTTGAAGTGGGAGGTTTGCTTAAAACGTAATGTCCCACCTTAGCAATACTGCCAATGCAAAACACATTTGTAACCTTCTGGATTTAAAAAGGTTTAATTAAAGTTCCATACTGATCTTTGAACAGTTAAAACAGTAGTCCAGACAGGTGCGTGCAGCAACAGACTGTTTGTACGTCAAAGTGTTTTGAAAGTGAAATAGGGAAGTTATGAGAGACACTGCACGTAAAGGTTCCATGTTTGGTTTAGTTTTGTCTACACACCATAAGGGCATAACAAAAATAAAATTGGGAACATCATATAAAAACCCGGGCTGTGGTTTATGATGATTTCCATTATCGATCTCGATTAAATGTTTGGTGTTTAAATTGTCCACCAAAGTGTCCAAAACATACATTAACTGTTTCATTTTGCTTAACCAAGTCAGACAGGTGTTTGACAAGGACGTTTATCCAAATAGTTTCAAATCAATGTGATATCCATTTACTTAATTGTTGCACCTCTAATAACGGATTTATAAAATTAAAGTTGTACATTGATGACTGATTTGTTACCTTTCTTTGTGTTATGGGATGTTACACTAAACCTCTGAAGGGTTAGGACTGTTATTTTGACAAAACCATACATTTGAAGTCTTTTGATTTTGTTCGTTTTTCAGCATTAGATCATAAATGTTATAGTGAAAATGATAGTGGCTGCTCTGCTTAGAATAATGAATCTTTACTTCTAGTTACTTCTCTCCAGTGAAGCAGTTCCGCAGGCTTTGGTTTGTTTATTAGCCCGGACTGTGCAAACAAGTCACATCTGCTGCCCAGCACCCCCCACCTCACTAAACCAGGAAGTCAACAGCACCTTTGGGTTTATTCAGCTCTGTTTAAGCTCTTTACTTCGACTCCAACGTGAAACTAACCTCTCAGTGACCCCAGCGTTTCATGAGGGTGAAAACGCTTTGCACGTGAGTTACAGCCAGCAGACACACACACCCAACATGGCTGTGTTATTCCGTCAAAATAGAACTTCTCATACTCGGCATGCGACACTAGATGGTGCCCTGTTCATAGTGATTGACCTGTTGCTGCCCAATTTGACCTGCTGATGTTGACCGACCAGGGCTAGAAGAATACACACACTGACGGCTCAGTGGGATAAGAGTAACCTGGGAGAAAGAAAGAAGCAAGCATCACTGGAAAAAGCACATGTGGTGGCTATGTAAAATGTATGCGCTCTCACACCTCAGTGTTTTCCATATATTTACATACATCTGACTCCAGTGGTTGGAGCGGGGCCAGTGAAGAATTGGGGCTTCTTAGCCTTTCTGTTTGCATTGACAGGCATACAGAGTTTTTTTTACTCGGTTCCTGAGGGTTTGACCACACAGTCTGGAGGGGGAGGGGGGGCTCCTCACAGGAGGCCCTGTATGCTGCGTGTATGTAAGATTGATCTATTCTTAACTGTCAACAGAGGAAGGGTTTGATCGTCTGTAATTTGGGGTGAAACATTTTTGTGGAAAACTGACGTCAGTGTCTGATGGAAAAGGAGGGCCTCCCCTCACTGATGTCAGATGCCTGAGATCTGTTTTCTGCATTTCCTGGCCCTGCTCTGTGTGTGAGAGTGCATTAAAGCCGGTGAATGATGCAGGATATGGTTTTTTATCTCTTTGTTAGACTCATTGGGGCTGGGTGTGTGTGCATGGGTGTCGTGACTGCCTGGGGGTGTACACTATTTGTTGAGAGGTTTGACATGTAATGTGTGCATGAATTATATTGGTGTGTGTTGTGTGTGCGTTCCAAGGGATTTGAGAAGGCTTAATTATTGTGTGTGTGCTGGAGCATGTGGCTAAGGGCATTTATATGTGTGTGCACGCATGTGTGCGTGTGTATGCATGTGCAATGACTGTGGGGGTAGATATGGTGGAGAGAGTGAGAGTGTGCATCCACGTGTATGTGCCAGGCATCGGAGTGTGTGTGTGTGTGTGTGTGTGTGTGTGTGTGTGTGTGTGTGTGTGTGTGTGTGTGTGTGTGTGTGTGTGTGTGTGTGCAGTGTACAGTGTACAGTGTACTATATGCATCTATAATGAGTTCTGTGTGTGCACGCACATCCGTGAGTGAGTGACAGGCAGCGGGGGAGAGTGCATTCACGCATGAGCCTCTGCGTACTCATCCGTGCCTGTGCGTGAGGATTGTGAATCAGTATGGAGGAGTGTGTGTGTGTGTGTGTGTGTGTGTCTGTGTCTGTATTTGTTTGTGTGTGTGTGTGTGTGTGTCTGTGTGTCTGTATTTGTTTGTATGTATGCATGAGCGACGATAGGAAAGGGCACCGGTCGATGAGGTCTAACACCACCAGGTTTGTTGTGCGACGGAAAATCTAGGTGTTCACACCTAGTGCCCCCCTTTAAAAGTAATCTCCCTCTGGGAGGTACTACTTCGACTTATTTGTCGTCTTCCCTCCTTCCTCCCCTTCCTCCTCTTTCCCCATGACACAAAATGGTCCTGTTCAAACAATTAGACTACCCCTCTCTTCTCTCCCGTCGTACTTTCATGCCATATTTCTTTTCTACTTCCTCCGAGACGTCCTACACTACCCATTTCACTCTCTTCCCTATCTTACCTTTGCTTTCTCCCGTCATCCCTTCTTACTCTCCTATCTTTTTTCCTTCGTTTTGTCTTTCCTCCGTCCTTTACCATTCTCCTTTCCCTCTCTTCTAATCCGGTCACATACTTTATTTCTCTCCTTCTCATATCTTCCCTCCTCTGCTCTTATTATCCCTCCCTACCCCCTCTTCCGACACCTCACCTTTGTATCTCACCCCCATCCACCCATCCTCCTTTATCCTCACCTCTTTTACTTATTCTCCTCTCGTTCCTTCGCCTTTCTTTCCCAACCTTCCTAAGCCTCTTTCCTAACGCCCTTTCGTTACCTGTCTACTTCCTTTGTTCCTTTCCTAACATCTCCTTGTCCTACGTCCACCTTTCATCCTGGGAACTGTATTTTCTCGATCTTTTCCCCTGTCTACCTTTTTTTCCACTCCACACTTGCGCACCCCCAGTAGAGAGAGTCGACCCTGAGACTCGTCGAGAGGAGTCTACGAGAACTATTGGAAGAGGGTCAGACGTCCAGTTCAAGTAACGTCTAGTTGTTTCCATGCCCGGTAGGGAACAGACTTCTGGTTGTGGTCCAGTGTCAATTTGGACGAGGACGACACCCAGACTACCCTTGCCTCCTCTCGACCATCTATCTCGAAGACACAAGTTCCACTACTTCACTTGAGGCCATGTGTAAGGAGGAGTCATACGAAGACTTCTAGTCGATAATTTAGTCTCAATTAAATATGTGAAAATAGTACGGAGATTCATAACGGAACGTTTCTAATTTACACACCAAACATATCATTGACGTCTTACATTCTACTACAAAATCGAACTTCTACGGAAACCCTCTAGTAGACTGATCTTATATTATTACAGAGTCCTTTTCTGTGACTCCTTGTCTTTCTGGGTACTCGTACTCAGGGAATACTGTTTCCTTTAAGGTTCTACCGAGGTTCACTTCCTGTTGGTATCTCCTCTGCGATACCGAGTTACTTTACAAGTCGTCGTAGACTAATTTGATAAGGCGTGCCCGCCTTTTTTTGACGACCGAAACGGAAGTACGGGAAATAGTTGTTACTAACAACATATGTCAAACAAAATAAGAGAGGGCTTCTTCAAGCGACCACGCAACCACACATGCTCTCTACTCTACTTACATTAATTTCAAAAATTAATCTGCGACAAGAATAAGACCCTTCGGACACCGTTCGCAACCCACCTCGGTTCACCCTGGTCCTCAAACACACAGACCGACTCTACTTGCGGCGCGGCCCGGCCCCATTACCTTTTGGCCCACAGTGACATGTCGTGTGTGTGTGTGGTGTGGTGTGTGGTGGTTGTGTGTTGTGTGTGGTGTGGGTGTGTGGTGTTGGTATCTCGACCGTCGACTTTCCCTTATTTGTGTGTTTTTTCGGTGTATTTCAATGACGTGCTGTGACTAACTTACGTGTACGGGGGTGTTACGATTTACATATGTGCATGTGTGTGTAAGTTTTTCTCTTTTATAATTAGATCACTGATGGACGGTTAATACTTGAAGTCCGGGACCGACTGTGCATTTTTAAGGGAGATTTATCACTTTTACTACACACGTTATTAACGTACGTATAGTTTCCT